ATTTTTGCATTTAGTCGTATATTAATTAAAAGTTTGTTATTCAAATTTAAATTCCTTCTGACTTTTTTAAAGTATTTTCTTTTAATTTTTATATTTATTTTTATTAATGTACCATCCATTTTGTGCGCTACATGGGCCCTCCCTACGCTTTCACAGTTTTGCTTTAACATATCTCATTTTGCGCTTGCACTGCATTTTCTTACAAAAGAGAAACCAATTTTTCACACAGCAGGTTTTGAGTGCTAGACATTACAATATGTCATGACAGAAATAAATGTGATTGGTTCAAAGTAAATGGAAATAATGAATGTATTTGCAGTAAACAAACTTGTCTAATATTAATATTTATTTACGATTCCTTTTATATTGCAATTGATTTAAATCACTTTTCTTCTTTTCTTTACAGAAAAATTTAACCTTGAATTAAAATTGTCGTCGCAATAATGTAAGTACTTTGAAATCATATGTTTTTTCAATATTTTAAGCTAAGTAGTCCTCATTCTCAAACGATGTTTTCCAGCCAAAGTAGCTGCCTTATATACCTAACCACGTGATAAAGCTCAGGTTAAACCAGTTGTACACCAAATAGCTAAATATATACCGAAAATAATGTAAACTACAGCACACATGTTTTCAGGCATTTCAGGCTATTGTGGCTGTGTGCGCAACAAGTATACGTCATGGTGTACCCCAAACCAACTCAAGTCTATCGATTATTAGTAATTTTGTGTGCTATTTTTAAACGTTTTAGTCAAGAATTGTGAAACAAAAAAGTTCATGAAAGTCATATAAATATTTCATATAATAATCGATAATTTTAAAGCGCTTTGCTTTTGTTGTGCTTTGTAATGGCTTTGCAAAGTGTAATTTCAAATAAATTTTTTTATATCTTTTCTTCTTTAATTTCGCTTTTCAAAATTTTTTTTTTGTCAATTTCCAACTTATTTTTTAATTATAAGCAAGTGTTTTTCAATTAATTTTTTAATTCCGATTTAATTTTTCCTTA